TACTTCACAGAGAAAACATCCAACTTGTCAATCCCCTTTAGCATCTTAAAGACCTCAATTAGATGTCCTCTAATCCTTCTAAACTTGAATGAAAACAGGCCTAATCTGCACAATCTCTTCTCATAAAAAACACTCCTAACAGGAAAACCAGTTGAACTTCAAATACTCAAAGACAGTAGAAGAAAAACGATAAGTCTTGAAAGGCAATACAGACAGGAGACAGATCAGCCATTTTGGAACACATGATTTGGGGCAGCACTGCTGCCTCACAGCACCGCTGCCTCACAGCACCAGGGACCCACCTTTGATCCCACTCTCAGCGACTGTCAGTGTGGAGTCTGCACATTCTCCCAATGTCTGCGTAGATTTCCTCCAGGTGCTCCAGTTTCCTCCCACAGTCCAAAGATGTGCAGGTTAGGTGGATTGGTCGTGCTAAATTGCCCGTAGTGTCCAGGGATGTGTGGGTTACGTGGATTAGCCATGGGAAATGCAGGGTTACAGGGATAGGGTAGGGGGTTGGGTCTGGGTGGGATGGTCTTTGGAGGGTCAGTGTGGACTCAATAGGTCGAATAGCCTACTTCCACAGAGTTGGGTTTCTATGAACAAGTTAAGTTCTTTTTGAAGGTTGAAGCAAAGACACAGTAAAAATATTATCCTGGACGATGTGTATAAATGTCGTTAAATCCTGTTTGGTTGAACATCACATCTACTAGTCAGAAATTTTTGCCAACCAATCAGCCCTCTCCTCTCATGCAGCTTTCTCCCTTGAATTTGTATTCTTGTGAAGTGTCCCGATTAGTGCAAGATGAAAAGTTCTGAGAAGGGTCACCAGACCCGAAACGTTAACTCTGATTTTTTCTTCACAGGTGCTGCCAGACCTGCTGAGCTTCCAGCAACTTCTGCTTTAGTTCTTGACAAAATCTGTCTTTTATTCACTAAACTCAAGTTGTGTTCCACCAAACAACAATAATGTAATTTAGAATCGATCGATTCTCTCAATAAATATTCATAAGCAATTCTAATAAAATTTGTAGTCTCCTATTTATGTCCTCACAAACTGACATCTTGATAACAATATCATAGAATTCCTGTTAGAATCCTGATATTGATAAACATAAAAAAGTTGTTTGTGTTGTAACATACATGTAGATATTTTCTACATTGAGATAATTTTGCTGGTTTGAAAACTCCTGGTAGAAAGGACATTTCATTACAGTAACCAGTCCATAAGCTGACAAAGCAAACCCAAGTCCCTTTACTGATCTGAAAGTGTCTCTTTGTTGTGGTTTTAAGCTGACAATAAGATTGCCTGGATAATGTCACCCCTCAACGTGCTGGTTCACCAGAAATCAAGCCCTGCTTTTCTCATGGTCATCAAAAATTAAAGGTTTTGTAATAGCACGCAAGACTGCTCAACTGACCCATCTTTTAGACTGAAAGCACAGATCAGATTTCTGTATTTCACAAGCTTGCTATTTATTAGAAATAAATGGATATTAGCTCCAGGTAAACAGTCATAAACCACCAATATATTACACTACTCATTCAACCTCACCCTAAAAACACACACATAGACAGCAAAACAAAAGGTGTTATGGGTGGAAGGGAAAATTGAGAAGGCAGTCACAGAAAAGGCTTTTGGCTTGTCAGGACATTGATCTCTATTCTCCAGGTACTTGCCTACAGGAAACACAGAGCCACTGGTTCACAACTCATGAAGCTTCTGACTTATTGGTCAAAGGTAACGGCTTACAGCAACTGATGAGGGAAAATGAAACTAGCTTCTTCAGGCTTGAGGTTTTTTTTAAAAACTGAAGGGGTAACACAGTAGCTCAGTGGTTAGCACTGCTGCCTCACAGTGCCAGGAACCAAGGTTCAATTACAGGCTTCGGTGACTGTGTGAAGTTTGCACATACTCCCCATATCTGCATGGGTTTCCTCCGGGTGCTCTGGTTTCCTCCCACAATTTAAAGATGTGCAAGTTAGGTGGATTAGCCACAGGAAACGCAGGGTTACAGGGAGAGAGTAAGGGGTGAGTCTGCGTAAGATGCTGTTTGGAGAGTTGGTATGGACTTGTTGGGCTGAATGGCCTGTTTCCACACTGTAGGGATTTCATTCTATTCAAAGAAGGACAGTGTTTCCAATAGTTTCTGACCAAACATTCACATCTGCAAGCTGTTCAGCTACCTGGGAACCAGTCACAGCTGTCGGCAGACAGAAGGCCTTGGACATCAACAACTGGTCATCAATCTATGGAACAATCAGCTACTTGTTGGCTTAATCTCATTATATACACACCCTTGAGTGCCAGCTCATCCGCAACTAAACTTCCGCCACTGGTTAAACAAACAATAGCATAAACAGCATTTATAGGAAGTGCAGGTAACTTGCTCTTAAAAAGTACAGCAATCCCTTCCACAATTCTTCATTTTTTATAAAGTCCTTTTCCCATTTCAGTTCACAATCAAGAAGAAGCCTTTACAATAACTGTGTATGTGTATTTGTGTGGATGGCAAAGACAGCTCAAAGGATTTTAAAGCTGAAAACATACTTAGAAAGTGTAGTCCCTGTTGTGATGTAGGAAATACAGTGGCCATGACATGCACTGCAAGGTCCCAAAGGAAACAGCAATGCAAGAGATAGTAGGAACTGCAGATGCTGGAGAATCCGAGACAACAAGGTGCAGGGCTGGATGAACACAGCAGAGAATCTGTTTCAGCGATGTTGATTGAGGGATACACATTAGTCAGGAGACTGGGATAACATTCCAGGGATCTTCAAAATGGTGACCTGGAATCTTTCACATACACCTGAGAGGTCAGATGACGACTTCAGTTTAAAATGTCATCTGAAAGACAGCATTTGTGATAATCCAGCATTCCCTCAGTAGTGCATTGGGAATGTCAGCGTACATTCAGTACTCAAAACCTCAGAGCTGCACTTCGAGGTGGAGATGAGAGAGACACCCACTGATCCATGGCTGAGGGTTTCCTCATCCAATCCTATTCAGTACAGAGGGTGGTAGAGGCAGGTACTCTCACAACATTTGAGGAGCACCCAAAATGCCAGGGTGTAGTAGGCTATGGACCAAGTGCTAGTAAATGGAATGAATGTAGTTAGTGATGAGCCAGAATACAGGAAGGAGATAGAGTGCTTCAAGTCATGGTGCAACGATACAATCTTTCTCTCAATGTTTGCAAAAAAAATTGATCATTGAATTCAGGAAGAAAGGAGGAGAACACACCCCTTTCTACATCAATGGAGCAAAGGTGGAGAGGGTCGAGAGCGTCAAGTTCCTAGGAGTGACGATAACCCAAAATCAGTCCTGGACCGCCCATGTAGATGTGACGGTCAAGAAGGCTTAATAATGCCTCTTCTTCAAGCGACTTAGAAAATTTGTAATGTCCATGGGACCCTCACTAATTTACTATGGAGTTTAGAAAGCATTCTATTTGGTTGCATAACGGCCTGGTATGTAAGAAACTATAGAAGGTTGTGTGCTCAGCACAGACCATCACAGAAGCCGATCTCCCATCTATGGACTCCATTTATACTTCTCAGTGCCGCGAAAAAGTTGCCAACATCATCAAAGACCCGTCCCACCTTGGTAATGCTCTCCTACAGGTAGAAGATACAGAAGCTTCAACACACACATCAACAGGTTCAAGAACAGCTTCTTCCCTGTTGTTATCAGACTGCTGAACGGATCTCTCTAACTTCAAATAATGTTGATGTTGCTTTGTGCACCTCCTGTGCAGCCATAACTCTGTATGCCTTTCTCTGAGCACCCTGTGATCTGAATGTCCTTGTTTGCTATGATCTGCCTGTACTGCTCGCAAAACAAATCTTGTCACTGCACTTAGGCATATGTGACTACAATAAATCAAATCAAATCAAATCATCATGGTATTTGTTGGTCAGCATAAACATGGTGGGCCGAAGGTCCTGTTTATGCTATATGACTCCATGAGTACAGTTGCTGTCCCAGGGTAAACCTCATTACACTGGAATATGTTGGGAACGGCAAGTATTAGACTGAAGCTAATTATTCTGAGAATGGCAGATTCTTGACATCAGCACCAAGCTCAATTCTTTTTCTTTTTTCTTTCATGGGATGTAGGCATTGTCAAAAAGGCCAGCATTTGTTGCCCATCGTCAATTACCCTTGAACTTACAGGTTTACTAAAACCATTGGAGAGGCCATGAAGAATCAGATACATTGCTGTGGGCCTGCAGTCACACGTAGGCCAGGTCAGGCAAGGAACAATGCTTCCCCCCGGAAAGACATTAGGGAACCAGATGTTTTTATTTTTAAAAAATAAAAAGATAATTGACAATAGTCTGACGGCACCATGCCAGTTTACAATTCCAGATTTAATCACATTCTAACCAAAGTGGGCTTTGAACCAATATCTACAGTGTTAGTCTGGGCCTCTATGTTACTGCCCAGTGAGATTAACACTTTGTCACCATTTACAGTTCATCACTAGTTACTGGACAGTTTGCCTGTTTTCAGTATCCCCCTTCTATTCTGATATAAAAATTAGAAATCACATGACAGTAGGTTATGGTCCAACAGGTTTATTTGAAATCACAAGCTTTTGCTGCACTGTCCCTTTGTCAAGTGAAGTCACTTCACCCAACAGAGGAGCAATACTACAAATGCCTGTGATTTCAAATAAACCTGTTGGGACTATAACCATGGTGTTGTGTGACTTCTGACTTTGTCCACTCCAGTGCAACACCTGTATCTTCACATCATATTCAGATACTGATACACCTTTAAGGTATTACTCAGGACAGGACACATTGCGGTGCAGAGGTGGTATCCCTGCCTACCAGCCAGGAGACCTAAGGTCAAGTCCCACCCACGAGCCAGAAAAAGGTTTTTAAAACGTTATTATATTTACTGTCCGCAGAGACAGAGTTCCAGCCCAACCCTCAAAGCCATCTATAGGTGCAAGGGCTGAAAGGAAGTGCGCACAATCGCCACCGGGCGGAGCCTTTGCACACACCACTTTAGTTTCAATTTCAAATTCTCTGTAAAACAAATGGCATGGCGGCACCGAGGAGGCACTGGCCTGTGATGGCTTCGATTCTCCGTTGGGGTTGGAGAGCTCTGAGTGGGAACTGCCCGTCCTTCACCTCCCAGAGACCATTCACTCTCGGGGTCCCTGCTTTAATCCGAATGCATGCGATTCCCAAACCGAAAACCGTGGACCGATGGACGGAGAAGAGAGCGATGTTTGGCATGTACGATAACGTGGGGATTCTCGGCGGTTTCACCGTGCACCCCCGCTCTCTGATCCGGGGCCCGGTCTGGCTTCGAGGTTTCAGGGGGAACGAGTTACAGCGCTGCCTGAGAAAGAGACGCTTTGTGGGCGAGCGAATGTTCGAGGACGACCTTCATAACCTCAACAAGAGAATCCGCTTCCTCTACAAACGTTTCAATCGATACGGGAAAATGCGCTAGAACGGCAGACTGTCAATAAAGGCCAGCTCTCTCCCGAAAAAGAAAACTTGTGACAGCATTTCTCAATCGGGACTTTGAGAGCTCCTGTAGCTCCAGACCTCTCAAACCTTCCTTCTCCTGGTCACATTTCTCTACATGAAACTGTTAAATAAATGCAAATTGTTATATAATTCAGCTTCACTTCTCTTTTACTTCCATTTTAGAACCATTATGTGGTGGTGCTGGTGTTGGACTGGGGTGGACAAGCTCAGAAGTCATACCGCACCAGGTGATCATCCAACATGGCAGGTATGGTTAGTAAGTTTGCAGATGACACCAAAATTGGAGGTCTAGGGAACACCAAAGAAAACTACCTCAGAGTACATCCAGATCTGGATTAGATGGGCCAAGGAGCAGCAGATGGAGTTTAATTTTGATAAATGTGAGGTACTGCATTTTGGAAAGGCAAATCAGGGCAGGACTTACTCACTTAATGGTAAAGTCCTGCAGAGTATTGCCAAACAGAGAGACCTTGGAGCGCAGGTTGATAGTTCCTCCAAAGTGAAGTCGCACGTAAACAGGATAGCAAAGGCAGCATTTGGTACATATGCCTTTATTGGTCAGTGCACTGAGTATAAGAGTTGGAATCATGTCGTGGCTGTACAGGACCTTAGTTAGCCCACTTTTGAAATACTGCGTGCAATTCTGGTCTCCCTGCTATAGGAGGGATGTTGTAAACTAGAAAGTGTTCAGAAAAGATTTACAAGGATGTTGCCAGGGTTGGAGGGTTTGAGCTAGAAGGAGAGGCAGAATAAACTGGGGCTATTTTCCCTGGAGTGTCAGAGGTTGAGGGGTGGCTTTATAGAAGTTCATAAAATCATAAGGAGCATGGATAAGGTAAATAGACAAGGTTTCTCTCCCTCTTTCCTCCTCCCCAAACGATGGGGAGTCCTAAACTCAAGGCAAGAAGTGAGGTTTAAGGTGAGAGGGGAAAGATTTAAAAGAAACCTAAGGGGCAACTATGTGGTGGATGGTGCGAATATGGAATGAGCTGCCAGAGGAAGTGGTGGAGGCTGGTATAATTACAACATTTAAAAGGCATATGGATGGGTATATGAATAGGAAGATTGTAAAGCACCAAATGCTGGCAAACGGGAATAGATTAATTTAGGATATCTGGTCAGTATGGATGAGTCGAACAAAAGGGTCTGTTTCTGTGTTGTACATTTCTATAACAGGTTTATATGAAAGCGTAAGCTTTTGGAGTGCTGCTCCTTTGTCAGGTGAAGTGGAGGGAAGGACACAGGGACAGAATTTGACACTGACAGAATTTATAGGTGGAGAGATCAAAAGATAGTACAAATGGTGTTAGTGGAGTGTCGACAGGGTAAATAATAAGTCTTTGTGTGTGATAAAAAGTGTCAGATGGTTTGAGTAAAGTGTCAACAGCTGAATAGCAAGTGAAGGAATGATCAATGATCTGAATAATTGAGGCAGAGATAATTACAAAAAAAATCAAAAATAAGATGGTGTTAGAGATAAACCTGGAATAGGTGACTGCAATAATATAAAAACCAAAAGAACTGTGGATGCTGTAAACTAGGAACTGGAATAACATGATAGGTACAAGAATTGCGTGCTGAAGGTCTAACTAAAATAACAAACAAACCAAACTGTACAAACTAAGATGGAGGTGCCGGTGCTGGACTGGGGTGGACAAGGTCAAAAGTCCCAACACCAGGTTACAGTCCAAAAAGTTTATTTGAACTCAAGCTTTCACAGTGCTGCTCCTTCATCAGGTGAAGTGAAGAGAGTGCTCAGGCACAGACTTTATAATCAGAGAGATTGCAACATCATACAGTGTGAGTAGAGTGTCAACAAACCAAGTAATAGGTCTGTGAAGGAATCAAGAGTGTCAGAGGGTGTGAGTAAAGTGTTTACAGCTGAATAACACATTAAGGGATAACCTACAGTCTGATGAAATGAGGCAGAGAGATAATCACAAAAAAAAATTAAAAATAAGATGGAGACAAACCAAATGACTGGAATAACATGATAGGTATAAGAGTCACATGCCAAGAGCCTAACCAAAGTAACAAGTAATCCAAAACTCTTCAAACTAATTATGGTAGAAAGACCATAAGTTATCAAGATGGTGTCAAAACAGAACAGTAAAGATTTTACAAACAGAACAGTATGGTGGGGTTACATGTAGCGTGACATGAATCCTCAATCACGGTTGAGGCCACTTTTGGTATGGAACTTGACAATCACTTTCTGCTCGGCGATTCTGCGTTGTCATGTATCTTGAAGGCCACCTTTGAGGACGCTTACCTAAGATCGAAGGCTGAACGTCCTTGACCGCTGAAATGTTCCCTGACTGGGAAGGAACATTCCTGTCTGGCAACTGTTGCGCAGCGTCCATTCATCCGTTGTTGTACCTTGCTTGCAGTGTATGAGGTAGACAACATTGGCCAAGTCACATGAGTATCTGTGCTGTGTACGTGGTGGGTGGTGTTCCCACATTTGATGGTAGCTTCCGTGTCAATGATCTGACATGTCTCACAGAGGTTGCCATGGCAGGGTTGTATGGTGTTGCAGTCGATGTTGTCATGAGGCTGGGTAGATTGCTGTGAACAATGGTCCGTTTAAGATTTGGTGATTGTTTGAAAGTGGGAGTTGGTGGCGTAGGGATGATTTTTGCAAGATGTTCCAACATGTCATTGATGAACATCTCGCCAAGGTCATCCCTACACCACCACTTCTCACCAACCACCTAACCTTAAACAGACCATTGTTTGCAGGAATCTACCCAGTCTTCAGGACAGTGTCAAATTCAACACCATACAACCTGCCACAGGTTCCTCTGCAAGACATGTCAGATCATTGATATGGACACTACCAGACATGGGAACAACACCCACCATGTACACAGCAAAAACTCATGTTACTCAGCCAATGTTGTCTACCTGATATGCTGCAGCTAAGGATGCCTTGACACATGGTGTATAGGTGAGACCATGCAGACAGTACAGCAATGGATGAATGCAAGCTACCATCAAATGTGGGAACACCACCCACCACGTACACGGCAATGTTGTCTACCTCATACACTGCAAGCAAGGTACAACAATGGATGAATGGACACTGCAACAATTGCCAGACAGGAATGTTCCCTCCCAGTCGGGGAACATTTCAGCAGTCAAGGACATTCGGCCTTACAAGCTGCAGGAAGCATCCTCCAAGGTGGACTTTGAGATACACAACAACGCAGAATTGCCAAGCAGAAACTAACAGCCAAGTTCCTTACCCATGAAGATGACCTCGACTGTGATCTTGAATTCATGTCAGACTACACGTGACCCCACCATACTTCTGTACTTGTAAAATCTTCCTTACTATTCTGTTTTGATACCATCACCTTGATAAGTTATGATCTCTCTACCTTAAATTTCTGTAGGGTTTGGGATTACTTGTTACTTTGGTTAGACCTTCTGCATGCAACTCTTATACCTGTCATGTTATTCCAGTCATTTAGTTGGTCTCCAGCACCATCTTATTTTTAATTTTCTGTAATTACCTCTGCCTCAATTAATCAGATCATTGGTCATCCCTTCACTTGTTGACACTTTACTCATACTGTCTGACACTTGATCACCTGCAAAGACTTGTTATTCAGCCTGTCGACACTTCACTCATACCATTTGTAAGATAGATAACAAGGTTTAGAGCTGGACGAACACAGCAGGCCAAGCAGCATCAGAGGAGCAGGAAGGCTGATGTTTCGGGCCTAGACCCTCCTTCAGAAATGGGGAGGGGAAGGGGGATCTGAAATAAATAGGGAGACGGGGGAGGCGGATAGAAGAGGGATAGAGGAGAAGATAGGTGGAGAGGAGACAGACCGGTCAAAGTGGGGATGGAGCCAGTAAAGGTGAGTGTAGGTGGGGAGGTAGGGAGGAGATAGGTCAGTCCAGGGAGGACGGACAGGTCGAGGGGGCGGGATGAGGCTAGTAGGCAGGAGATGGGGGTGGGGCTTGGGGTGGGAGGAAGGACTGGTTAGGGAGGCAGGGACAATCTGGGCTGGTTTTGGGATGCAGTAGGGGGAGGGGAGATTTTGAAGCTTGTGAAGTCCACATTGATACCATTGGGCTATTTGCAAGATATTTTGATTGCTCCACCTATAAATTTCACCTATGAAGGAGCAGCACTCTGAAAGCTTGTGATTTCAAATAAACCTGTTGGACTATAACCTGGCGTTGTGACTTTAAGCATTTTAAAACCACTTAATGTATTTCCGTTAGCTTTTACAATGACCCGTGTTATTCCCTGCAGTAAAATAGGATGCAGCCACACAATCACTTCCATAGATTTTCAAGGCAGCATCAGCATAGCTTTTGGTGGGGGGAGGTGAAGATGGGAGCAGGGGTGATAACTTGCCAGCAACTGCCTTTGCTGCAGGGCTTGCTTCGTGCCTGGTCTGTGTTTGACAGCTTTGTTCTGAAAACTTGCCTCGGAGAAAATCAGCATTGTGAATCTTAGTATCTCCAGGACACATACCCAGAGGGGGATCATCCAGTGACATGGAGAGACTGGAGGAGCTGGGACTACTCTCCTCTGAACAGAGGCTATGAGTCCCACAGTGAGCCACTCACCTCCTGACCCTGCAGAGCCTGTCCACTATCTACAAGCCTTCAGTCAGGAATCAGATGACATCAGGTTATGGGCCAACAGGTTTATTTGAAAACGCAAGCTTTCAAAGCTCAGCTCTTTCCTCAGGTGTAATGCGAGAGAGGGTATAAGACAGTTTATAAGCAGAAAGATAACAATCCTAAATAAAGGGATAACAAGGTGTAGAGCTGGATGAACACAGCAGGCCAAACAGCATCAGAGGAGCAGGAAAGCTGATGTTTCAGGCCTAGATCCTTCTTCAGAAAAATCCTAAAACTGGCTGCCTCTTGTTGAATCTTTAATCAGTTAGGGAGACTACTGATTAAAATGCAAAATCCAGATTCCTCTCAAGTCACTGTCTTGAGATAATGAAAGGTTTTATCAATGTACACAAGAGGTGACATCTTAGGTGGTGAGGAGTTGGATTGGAGCACCTGATAGTGGTAGAAACAGATTCAAGAATACTGCTCAAAAGGGAATTGGATAAATTGTTCCAGGAGAACAGAAAATGCAGAGACATAGCAATTAGTGGATTCCTCTTCAAAAGAGGAGATGCGGACTTGTTGGGCTGAATAGGTTGCGTCAAAACAGCAATTTTCAGTAGCTGGAGATGCTAACGTTTCAGCCTACCCAGTTTGCTT